AAAACTTTTTTTTTTTTTTTTTTTTTTTTTTTTTCCGGTATAGGGTGCGTGCACTCGCCAGACAGAGAGAGACATAGAGACAGAAAGTGAGAAATCACCCCCCAGGGGGGATGGTCATGCCACAATCCCCTCTCCTCCATTCTCCTCTCAGGATCTTGGGCACGCATGCACATGTGCCCGGCCTGAGTTTTAAGCCACTGGGTCCGGCATGCGAACCACGGTCGACTACGTGGGAGTCCAGTGACATAGCCATTACACTAACTGCTGGTTCCCAAGAAGCTATTTTCTGACGATAATGTATATAGTAATATCTTTATCTTGACTGATACGTATGGTATTTGTTTTGGAAAAAGAAACATATACTGTAAAGACATGTGATTAAAGGTAAATACATTTTTTAAAATGAAAAAAAAAAAGAGCTTAAAAATGAGCAATATGGATCATTCCAAATCAGAGGCTCTTAATCTTTTCTAAGTCATAAAGCCATTTAGGAGTTTTAGTCTTCCTTCCTTCCTCCCAATAAAAATAGGGACAGTATATTGCATATGGTTAAAAAAAAATTGTGTGTGATTATTCATGATTGGGTATGTCTATGTGTGCATAAGAGAGAGAGAGTGGTCTTTTAGCCTGTGGAACTTTGGGCACTGGTACCCAGGCTTGTGTGCATTGGGCTGAATGGACTGGGGACTGGAACCATGGTCACCATGTTGATTCCAGACTCCCCAGTATAGAACATCATGCCTCCACCACTGAGATTCCAGATTCCCCACTGAGGACATCACACCTCCACCACTGAGAGCCCAGACTCCTCAGTGTAGGACTTCACTCTTCCACCACTGAGATTCCAGACTCCCTAGTGTAGGACATCACATCTCTACCACGGAGAGTCCAGACTCTCTAGTGTAGGACATCACACCTCCACCACTGAGAGTCCAGACTCCCCAGTGTAGGACTTCACACCTCCACCACTGTGAGTCCAGACTCCTCAGAGTAGGACTTCACACTTCCACCACTGAGATTCCAGACTCCCTACTGTAGGACATCACACCTCCACCACTGATAGTCCAGACTCCCTACTGTAGGACATCACACCTCTACCATGGAGAGTCCAGACTCCCTAGTGTAGGACATCACACCTCTACCATGGAGAGTCCAGACTCCCTAGTATAGGACATCACACCTCCACCAGGAAGATAATTATTGACCACAGGCAGATACTGCTTTTGTATGTAGGTGCTTTTTAATAGCCCTGCTAGAGTAGCTTATTGAAGTGTGTTTTTGCATGTGTCTATAGGCCACATGTTTTAATCACATGTTTTCAGATCAGCTGCTCTCCACAATAGGGTGACTGAGGAAGCAAAAAACATGTGTAAGGAGATATATAAGGTGGTAGCTGAAGCTGGGAGGTAATTGAGGAGTTGGAGATCTTAAGCATCAGCCTAAACAGCTTGGGGTGTTTTCATCTGCAGAAGGGAAGATCACTGAAACTTTGGCATATTGACAACAGTTCTCTAGGATATGGGAGAGAAGGGCATCAGTAGCATGAAGTGGAAGGGGTGAGATGAAGATTCACTCATATTCTCCATCCAGCAGGGGCAGATGGAGGACTATACACCGTGAGTCTCTGAGATAAGCTCAATGTTGTTGATTTTGGCTAGTGTAGACTTGCTTGGGTTTGTATCTTTTCCTAAGTGGGCCTCAAGGGCATTGGGTTCAGGCTTGGTATTCAGGAACAACTTTGTAAATTGTGTCCCCATGGACACCCCCTTGATTGCCCCTTCTCAGAAAGTGCACACTCTCACCTGAGCCAAAGTTGTCTTGCCCCACTGGAGTCCAATCATGGGACCTGAGCATGAGACTCTTCTATAGTATTTTTCTTTTCATTCCCTAGTAGTATCGTCTGTTTGCAGCAGCAGAAGAAAAATGAAGTGGGGAAGACCATCGCTTGACAAGATGTATCCCAGGGCCAGAAGCAATAGTGTTAGAGAAGAGTGATCAATATCTCAGTAGTGAGAAGGAAGACAGAATTTGTTCTTGGCCCACATTGCAGAATAGCAGACCTTCTGGAAATAACAGCAGCATCTGATATGTGGTTTATGGTTTCTGAAGGCATTTCATATGAATTAACTTATTTTCCATTTTGTGCCTTCCAACTGGGTTGTGAGAAAGGTGGTGCAAAGAGCACTATCCCTGCTCGTGTGAGGATTCATGTGCAGATGTCCAGAAAGGTGAGGCAATTTGCCCAGTGGCAGGATGGTAGAAGGAAGAGCAAGATAGAACTGGAACCAAAGTTTCTTGGCTCCAAGTCTAGAGTTTTCTCTATGCCCTAGCTGTATCGCCCTGTTACAGGATTTGACTGTTCTGCAGTAACCCCAGGGAAAGTTTAGTCCTGCCAATGGTTGGCCTGCCAGTCTCTGAAACTATGACAGAGATGGAGGGTGATACATGCTGGATTGAGGGGACAGAGGAGGAGTAAACGAGAGAAGCAGGATGCTAATTGTTGCCCACTAAGTGAGCACGGTGTTCTTTTTCCCATTTGACTTGGCATAAAAAAGCAACCAGGGCCAGATTAAGCAGAAGACTGGAGAGGGGACGGGGAAGAAGGTAGCAAGAGAGGGAAACAGGGTCAGACTGTTTAGTGAGCATGGGAGACTCCAGCAGGTCAATGGACGATCCAGCTAAACTGAAGGCTGCTTCATCACCTTCTCAGGGTGAGGATTTGTAGCCCTGTAGTGCTGGAATGGGTGCCGTATCCTGTAATTCTCCTAACAAAGTAAAACACCCCACAGACACCTTCTGGTGTCTACATATGCATGCTCATTAGGCAAGAGGAAACAACTAGAACAGAAATCCAGATGACTGGGGATGGGATTATTCCACTTGCCAAACTGTGCTTATTTTCTGCTGGAAACGTTTTTTGGTCTTTTAATAAGTCCCTTTCTACCCCAAGGCCCCAAACAATATTCTACTGTCTTTTTGTAAAATTTTTTATTTTTATATCTAAGTATTTTATCCATCAGGAATGGATGTTACTGTCAGATATGAGGCAGGAAATCTAATTTTATTTTTTCCCTCAGGTGGACAAGCAGCAATATCAGCTTCCTTTCCCCTCTGACCTATTTCCAAATTTGTGTGGATTGTTTCTTGGCTCTCTATTTTGTCCTATTGGCCATTTCGTGTGTACTTGTGTCAATACCATCTTGCCTTGATTACTCTAGTTTTATAAGTCTTAATATCTCCTAGGGCAAGAACTTGATGCCCACTTTCTTCTTCTTCTTCAGCTATGTCTTGGCTTTTTTAGGACCTTTGCTAATTTACATCTCTGCCCCTAAATGGCACCGTAATATTACTATTAGTTTTTAACTTGTGAATAAGAAACTTAATAGTAAAAAATTAATAATAAGAATTAAAAAAATAATAATATACATGTTTTGTTATTACATAGTATCATAAAATATTATTTTTAGTGGCTACCTAATGTTATTGTTTAAGTGTACCATAATTTACTTATTCCATCTCCATTGGATATTTAAATTGTTGCCAAATTATCATTATAAGCAATTCTGTGGCATATATCTTCTGGAAAAATAGCTTTGGAACTTTATTAATTATTATTATTATTATTATCCAATTTGACCAGAGAGAGACAGAAAGAGAGAGGAAAAGTGAGAAAGCAAGCCACCAGGTCCAGGACTTGAACAGTGGTTGGCCATGTGAGAATCCAGCAGCTTTAACCACCATGCCACCTGCCAACCCTCAAAATTTTTTTTATTTGATTAATATTAAGGTTTTTTAAAATTTTGCTATAGAGCATATATACTCACTGAAGATACAGAGATAATAGAGAGATAGAGATAGATATAAGTAAATAGATAGATAGATAGATGAGAGAGAGAGAGAGAGAAAGTTCTCTTTAGGGAGGATGACCATACAGTAAATCCATTCTCTTAGAATTTTGGGCATACACACACATATGGGCTCTGTGTGTTGTTCAAGCCACTGGGTCTTAGACTGGAACTACACAGTTGGCCATGTGGGATCCTGCTGTCATAACTACCACATCACCAGCTGGCCCAATATTAAGGTTTTGATACAAATTACTAAATGATCTTCTAGATACTTCATATGAACTGTATATGTGACTGTGTAGGTAGGTGTCACGGACACGCAGCAGTATCAGATTCCTTTCACCTCTGACCTATATCCAAATTTGTGTGGATTTCTTGGCTCTCTATTTTGCTAGCAATAGACATTATCATTTTCAAAAACATTTTCTAGGGCTAGCCCTGTAGCACAGTGGTTAAGGTAGCCAGATGTGGGGACCAGCAGTTGGCATAACGGCTATGTCACTGGACTCCCATGTAGTCAATGGTGGTTCAAATCCCGGACCTGGTGGCTTAAACTCATGCCGGGTGCATGTGCATGTGTGTCCAAGAGCCTGAGAGGAGAATGGAGGAGAAGGGATTGCGGTGTGGCCATCTCCCATGGGGGCTGATTTCTTGCTTTCTGTCTCTCTGTCTCTGTCTTTCTGGTGAGCGCAT